TCTCTTTTCTTTTTAAGATAATAAATAAGTAAGTTAATAAGTAAGTAATTAATATCTTAAAATTAGCTAAAAAAGCTCTATAAAAATTACTAGTAAGGAATATATTAATAATATAAGTAAACTATATCTAGTTTATAAATAAACTAATAAATATATAAAAACTAATATAATAATATATTAAAATAAACTAAATATTTAAAAGTAAGGAAAACTAAGGAAAGTTAATTACTAGTAAGATTAAAGATCTCTAGAAACCTTAATAAATACTATTAAAAGGAAAAGGGAAATAATTAGTAACTTAAAGATTATCTACTATCTTAAACTAATTTCTAAACTAACTTATAAATATATTTAAAGATAAGCTAATATTAAATATTATTATATTAAATATTAACTAACTAAAAGTAAAATTAAAAAATAGCTTTCTAAAAGTAATTTTTAAAAAATAGCTATAAGAAAACCTCTTATATATTAAATAGTAAATAGAAATAACCTTCTAAAATAAAATACTAATATATTCTAGTATATAAACTCCTAAATCCCTAGACTTAGCTAAATAAGATAATTTTTAAGTAATTATATAATAAAAAGGAAAGCTATTTCTTTAACTTAATTTAAATATAAATCTAGAGCTAACTTTAATTAAGTAAAACTAATAGGAATAGATATTTAATAACTAAGAGAGTATTTTATTATTATTATATTCTATAATAGCTAGCTAGTAAATTATATTTAAGGATACTAAAACTATACTAATCTTTATTTAAAAAAGCTAATAAGCTTTATTAAAAATAACTAACCTTATAGTTTTTAGAAATTATATAATTAGTAAGCTAAATTCTAATTTAAATATATTAATATAAATATTTTAAAATATTATAGAGCTAGTAACTTAAAGGTAATATAAATAGTGAAATAGTTATTAGTTAAGTAAGTAAATTACTAAAAATATTAATTTTTCATAATTAAATATAAATAAAAAAGAATATAAAAATTAAAGCTATTTTATAAATAGAAAATATTTCTACTTTTTTAAATTTTTATTTATTAAATTCCTCTTTAATAAAATTATCTATTTCTATAATAATATTAATTATAACTAAATAATTAATATCTTTTTTATTAAACTTAATAATTTATTTAATATAAATACTTTTTTTAATATATATTAAAAAAAGTATTTATATTAAATAAATTAAAATAGTAAATAATTTTTTATTTACTTTTTTTATCTTTAGATAGATTAAGATAGTAAACTAAAATTATAATATTAATAAATACTAATAAATAAATATCTTATATAATTACTATTTACTTTATTATTTTTTTTAATTTTAACTTTATTAATTTAATTTTTACTTTTATATTAAAAAATAAATAAAATTTAATCTTTTTATATATTAAATTAATTATTAAATTCTAGTTCTTTAGAAAATTTATATTTATTAGTAATTTAAATTTTAATTTATTTATTATATTTATTTTAGTTATTAGATATTTAAAAATTTTAATATTATTAATTATATTAAAAATATAATAATTAAAGATAGCTTTCTTAGTAATTATAATCTTTAAAACTATTTTTTTATTAATATTAGATTTTTAAAAATTATAAATTAAATATTATATAAATATATTATAATTTATTTTTTATTTACTAATATATTATTAGCTTTTATATTATAGTAGACTTAATAGCTTTCTCTTTTTAAATTAAATTTAATAGATATTTTAATATAAATATATCTTTTTAATATAATTATATATAAAGTAGTAACTAAGTTAATAATTTATTTACTATAAAATAGAAATCTTTACTTTATTATTTTATTTTTTATAATATAGTATAAATCTAATATTAATATATTATAAATCTTTTTTTTTTATAATTACTTATTTTTTATTTCTTTTTAAAACCCTAGTTAAGTAACTTTATAAATATTAGTAGAATTAAGTATAAGAAATATATATTATTTTATATTTTTAGTAAATAATAATAAATTAAACTTTTTAAAGTAAAAGATAATATCTAGTAAAAGATAACTTATTATCTTTATTATTATTATATTTTATAAAAGTATAGCTAGTTTATTTATCTTTATTATTATTATTATTTATAAAGATATAGTTTTTATATTTATTATAATTATTATTATTATTTTAAATTAATAATTTATTATTATTATTTTTTTTATTTTAGTAAATAAAATTACTTTACTTTAATTACTTTTTAATAATATTAGTATTTAAGTTATTATTATAGATCTTTATTATAATATATATCTTCTTATTATTTTACTATCTTCTCTTTTTATATTACTAAAATCTATATTAAATTAGTTCATTATTTTTTTATCTTTATTTATTATTAGTTTTTTAATAAAATTTATAATTATTATTTTTATTTAATTTATTTTATAATTAATTAGATTTATATTTATAAAGCTAGTTTTACTAATTACTTTAATAATTTCTTTTTATAAAGTATTTATTTTTACTATCTAATTTACTTATAGCTTTATTACTTAATTTCTCCTAGGTTATATTAGTATTTAATATATTAAATATTTTTTTCTATAATTATTTTATATATATAAAAGCTTTAATTTTCTATTTAATTTTATTTATCTAATAATCTATTCTATCTAATTTCTATAGTTAAATATATATTATTTAAAGTTCTCTATTAAAATAATTATATATTATCTTTAGTTACTTAACTAATATATTAGCTTTTTATATTCTTATATATTAAAGATATTTTATAATATAATATTAGATTAGTTTATTTATATATATTTATTTAATAATATAAAAATTTTCTTTATTAGTTAATTATTTTTAAGTTTAGTAGCTAGTAATATTAAATTAATATATTAATTTAACTATTTAATTTTATATTAATTTATAAAATAATTAATTTTATTTATTTTTTAATATTAGTTTATATTATTATTTTAAAATATTATTTTATAATATTTAAGATAGAAGTTTTAAAAATAAGTTAATTAAAATTAAATTTAATAATTTCTTAGCTTTAATAGCTTAAGTAAATAATATTATATTATAATAATAAAGATATTTTCTATTTATAAAATAGTTTTAATTTCTATATTCTTTTTTATTTATATTTAATTATAAAAATTAATATTTTTAGTAATCTATTTACTTAATTAGTAATTATCTTATTACTTATACTATTTTTAAATTACTAGCTTTATAATATTTTAAAATATTTATATTAATATATCTAAATTAAAATTTAGCTTACTAATTATATAATCTCTAAAACTTATAAAGCTAGCTATTTTTAATAAAGCTTATTAGCTTTTTTAGATAAGAATTAATATAGTTCTAATATCTTTAAATTTAATTTACTAGCTAGCTATTATAAAATATAATAGTAATAAAGTATTTTCTTAATTATTAAATATATATTTTTATTAATTTTATTTAATTAAAATTAGTTTTAAGTTTATATTTAACTAAAGCTAATAAGATAATTTTTCTTTTTATTATATAATTATTTAAAAATTATCTTATTTAGCTAAATTTAGAAGTTTAGGAGTTTATATACTAAAATATATTAATATTTTATTTTATAAAGCTATTTCTATTTACTATTTAATATATAAAAAGTTTTCTTATAGCTATCTTTTAGAAGTTATCTTTAAGAAGCTATTTTTTAATTTTATTTTTAATTAGTTAATATTTAATATAATAATACTTAATATTAGCTTATCTTTAGATATATTTATAAATTAATTTAAAAATTAATTTAAAATAGTAAATAATTTTTAAATTATTAATTACTTCCTTTTTTTTAATAATATTTATTAAAGTTTTTTAAAATCTTTAATTTTATTAGTAATTAACTTTTTTTAATATTTCTTATTTTTAGATATTTAGTTTATTTTAATATATAATTATATTAATTTTTATATATTTATTAATTTATTTATAAACTAAATATAATTTACTTATATTATTAATATATTTCTTATTAATAACTTTTATAAAGCTTTTTTAGCTAGTTTTAAGATATTAATTACTTACTTATTAACTTACTTACTTACTATCTTAAAAAAAAAAAAAAAAAAAAGATAAATAGAGTTTAGGATTCTTAAAGAAATTAAATAATACTATTATTATTATAGCTTTTAATATACTACCTAATTATTAGATATAAGTAATAGCTTATAATTATAAAAGTAAGAAAGTATAGCTTATTTACTTTAAAAATAATATCTATTAATAGATTATTTATAAAGCTAGTAATTACTTATATACTAGATATATTATTACTAGTAGGATTATATACTAGATTTCTTAATTAAGTAAGTAAGCTATTAAGAAAATAAGATTATTATTTCTTTCCTAGTAAGTAAGTATAGGAATACTTGCTTTTATATATAGTAGTATAGGGCTACTATCTAGTTTATAATTATATGCTGCCTGAGGTAGTATAGTAGTAATACTTAATATATATTATATATTTTTATTTTATTAATATTTTAAATTTATTAATAAAATTTATTTTATTTATAAAAATTAAATCTTTTAAAATTTAATATAAAATATAATTAATTAAAAATTTTAAATTTTTATTATTTTAAAATTAATTAATTAATATTTATTAACTTATTATTAAAAATTTAATATAATTAAAATATATATATATATATATATATAAATTTTAATAAAATTATATATTAATATATTATATTTTTATTTTTTAAAAATTTTTATATAAATATATAATAAATACTTTATCTACTATAATAAATAGCTAGACTTATATAATAATATTTTTATTTTTATTTTTTTTATTATTATATTAATAATATTTTTTAAATCTTTTAAAATTATATTTTACATTTTAATAAAATATCTTTACTCTTTTTAAACTCCGCATTGACTTATGCTAAACTATAATAATAATATACATTTCTTTTAACGCATCTGTTCTCTTCTGTAGACCCGTCAATTCTTCCAGTATCTCACGCTGCTCCCACAAGGACATTGTTGACGGGAATGTGAACTAGAGAAATGTTAGAATCTTCTCCTCTTGGAACGGACCAACGTTGACGTACTCAATTTCACAATGTAGCCGACAAATCCCATAATCAGGAAGCCGGTGCCAACCGCCTGGCATATCCGAATGAATTCCTTTCGATCCGCTTGGTCTCGTTAGCCATTGAGGAATGCCTCTGAACAGGAAAAGCTCGGCGGTAGAACTCACGTTTCTGGCACCTATTAATGAATTGCATGCCATCCTTGAGGAACTCTCTGGGAACGTCCAGGATATCTTGTACTTGGTCCGACATGATTGGAAGAGTGAAGTTGGTGAGTTGTCTGCTTCAAATGTTGATGAATTCGCGTCTCGACATGAAGCGTGAGGATTGACGGAAGTAGGTGTTGTTGTGGACGATTTCATAATATGAAGCGGCATGAGCTGCGGGAAGGCAAGCTGTCCACTTTCAGTCCTCTCTCGGCAAATTGTTCTTCCGTCGGGCCCCTTTTCTTAGGCGTACAGCAAGGACTTCCTACAGACACCCCCCTCCCCACCTACAGAGTGGAGCCGCGCCATCATTGTACAATTGTACCAATGTAAAGTCGAGAATGTACTTATATGCGTCCAATTACTTCAGAGTCAAATATGACCAGGGTGGAGATGAAAAAAAAAAAAAAAAGGTTGTCCATGAAAGAGAGCACAATGTCGCCTCGCGTTCAATGATATGAGTTTCTGACTCGGTGTAGTCCTGATCTGGGTAATAGCTGTGGGAGTCGAGAATTTTACTGAAGCCGTCCACTTGTTTCAAGATGTTGCGCCAGGTTTCTCGGACGACGACACCCCAGCGCATCCTACTTCAGAGGCAATATTACAGCTCTAAGTCTATCCTCCCTCTCGCATATGAATGCCATCTCCCAGCTGTAGACAATGCCCACTTGAATTCACCACCGATCATTTTCTTGCATGGCCTTTTCGGCTCCAAAAAGAACAACCGGGCCATCAGCAAGTACATCTATCTCTCGACCTCCTCTGTGTCACATTACCTTACTAACGACTGGGAGCAGGAGATTAGCAAAAGACCTCAGTCGACCGGTTTATTCATTGGTATGACTCAATGCATCCTCTGACCGGTCACACACGAATAATAATAGGTATCAATGATGCGTCTTAGGATCTTCGGAATCATGGAGAGTCGCCCCATGATCCAATGCTTGATTATGCCTCAATGGCTGCGGATGTTCTCGGGTTTATTAGAGATCATGAGCTTGAAACTCCAGCCTTGATCGGTCATTCAATGTTCGTGGATATAATCTCAAAAGCATCCCGGCCCTCTGCTTCTAACGTTATTTGATGCAGGGGGGCAAAGACGGCGATGACGGTAGCGCTACAGTGGCCGGAGCACGTCTCTCGATTGATTGCTGTAGACAATGCGCCCTTGGATACATCTCTCGGTTCGAAGTTCTCACATTACATCCAAGGGATGAAGAAGGTGGAAGCCGCCGGGGTGGCACGCCGAACAGAGGCAGACGATATCCTGAAAGGATACGAAGAGGTTAGACTGACAAGACTGACTCTCTCAGGACGCATGTTTCCTAACGCAAGACACAGTCGCTACCGATCCGACAGTTCCTTTTGGGAAACCTCCATCGGCCGGCGGGCTCCGATACCCAACAATTCCGTATCCCCTTATCAATCATAGGTAAGTCACTGAATAATTTGGGAGATTTTCCCTTTAAAAATCCAGGCGAAGTTCGGTTCGAAAAGCCCGCGTTGTTCGTCCGTGGGACTCGAAGCAAATACGTTCCAGACGAGGTCTTGCCGTTGATCGGCCAGTTTTTCCCTCGTTTCCGATTGGTAGATATTGACTCCGGACACTGGGTCATCTCTGAACAACCGGAGGAATTCAGGAGAGGTATGTCAGGTTGCTGTCTTTGTTTTGTCACTGAAAGCGGTCGGATGAACTGGAGATAGGCTAAGAAATGCCGTTACAGTGGTGGTAGAATTCCTTGAGACACCGGATTCTTGAGTCAAGAAGCAACATGGCCTGAATACACCCGGCATGGTTCGCATTCACTAGGGTTAGGCCGGACATTCTCAATAAATGAATACGTCTTTTGTTCTCCTCGTCTCTGTTCAATTGTTTATTGGACGTGTACCCTAGTCCCGGTGCCACCTGGTGCTGCGCCATTTCAACGGAACATGAAGCCTAGTATTTTTGGACAAAAAAAAAAAGAGAACATAACCGACCAATCATCCCAAGGCCCACGCCATCTCCTCTTCTAACCCTCTGCGAGGATATCATACCTCCTCTAGCACACGCTCCTGGAACTCGCGGTCAACCCGTTGACCCTTCTCGTCGGTGGCAGACTCGCCATGGAGGGCCATCAAAGCACCGAGGTCGAACTTAGGCTGCTTCAGTAGCTTCACCTTGCGGATGTGAACCTAGATGCTGTTAGCACAGTCCACAAGCATGGAAATTCTATGCATGCCGAGCCACATACATTCTGGAGAGGGTAGATTCCCTGAGTGGACTTCTCAATTTCCCTTCCAATTACCTCGGGAATGAGCTTGGCGGTGAGTTGGGTCAAGGTGCAGCTCGAGGCCTCGCGCTGCATGATTTCCATCATCTTTCGGCGAATGGCACGGATTTGGGAGGTAGCGGCGTAGGTCGTCTTCTTCACTTGGTTGGGGCGGCGCTTGGTGAAGGCGATGGCGAAAAGTCGGAGAAGGTAGTCGTCGGTCGTCTTGACGGTAATATTCGCCTCGATCAGAGTTTGCCACTTTCGGACAAGGGATCGCAGCTTATCGGTAGTGAAATCGAGGCCGTGGAAGTTCGTCAGGCAGTTCTTTCCCTGGATCTCGTCGACTCGAAGTCGGACCTTGCGGAACGAGTGATCCTCATCCTTCTGTAGATCGGCGAGCGACACCTCGAGTACTCGTCCCTTCAGCGCGTCGTTGGCATTCTTCAGACCAGTAGTTCGGTTGACCAAGGTTTTTCCAACGCTGGATCTTGGTTAGATTGCGGTCTAGCACGAGTCGACAACCTCGATTACTTACTCCCGAACATTGAAGGGCGAAGGCGCCTGTGGATAAGTTAGCAGATTTCTAGAGCGCCAATCTCACGCTACTACCAACCTTGATCGAGTACCAATCCTTTCGAGAGAAGGGGTCTTGCGTCTTCTTCTTAAGGCCCTTCTTGCCCTTCGAGAGCCTCTTGTTCCTGGAGTCACGGTTAGCACAATTGCACCACCCTCGCGCGGCTGGACGGCAAGGTGACGTGAGGGGAGCAATTCTTACTTTCCGACAGCCATGCTGGGCTATATCGACGTGCCGGGAACGATGGGGTTGTTGTGATCCTGGGAAGGTTTGTCGAAGTAATCGCGGGAGAGTGGGAGACAGAAAAAAAAAAAACGTCGATTTTGGCATTTGAAAGTTGTGTGCCAGTTCAGGGTGGGGTGTTGTGTCGTTCCTTAGTACCTTTTTATCGATTACATAACCAACCACACGTGACTAAGTACGTCCCAACTTCAACTGTTGACCAGAGACTCGTACTTCGAGGTGAGTGGTGCTGACCGACATCAAATGGTGCCTAGAATCAATTGTAGAACAGCAACAACTATAGTTGTACCAATGACAATGAGGCAACTCTTCTTCCACCTGTTCTTCTTGCCCCCTCACTATGCTAGATCTAATTGTTGTGTGATCACTTCTATATGTTACAAGCAGGAAGAGAGAACAGCACTAGTTTATTATCCAGTGCTCAGTCCTATTATAATGGGACATTATATAGTGGTAAGTGTGCTGGGGAATGTATTTGCAGATGCCCACTAGTACAAAGTAGATGTACGTCCTGTATCAGAATAGGATGCTTAATGGCTGGAGTTCTTCAAGTTTGTACTATTCAACATTGGAACAAATGATGGTGAACTAATTCTCATGAGTGGGGGCTAAGGAATTATGGGAAGAGCATCAATGATCCCTGTAACCACCATCAGCAATGCTGAGTTACAGGCTGATCGAACCGTAAAATATTCTCCGAGGTCTCGCCAGAACATGAACCCCCACCCCTCTCCCCACCAAGAAAGGAACAAGAAAAGAGAAGGGGAGAGAAAACAAGGGCACCATAATCCGAGAACCCGCTGGAGCTCTGTTCTTGATATTACGAAGTACATCAGCCCATCAGTCCTTCAGATGGGAGTGAGAGAAGAGAGCACAAGCATTATTTGAACAAACAAAAAAGCTACTCGCAAACAGACGGTGGAGACTGAAAACCCGAGGATAATACCTCCTAAGGAGTCAAGGGCTATCACCAGTATCCCTCCCCATCAAGATCGCCGGATTTAATGATCGATGCTGGCATCGGTTAGCGACGTCTGCGACAAGTGAAAGCAAGATCGGGATTACCTACTCTTCCCAAACTCGTCCCTGGACTGCTTGCAGTTCTTGTGCCGTTAACCTCTTTCCCGCTGTGAAATAACCTAGGTTATACAACCTCATTAGCCTCAGTGTAAAGCCGCAAACCCACGTAGAAACTGACCGGCAGTGATCTTGGCATCAATCTCAACACGAGAGTCTTCGGGGATCCTCTCCTCTGGAAGCTCTACTCGCTCATGAATAGGAATCCTAGTTCATGTTAGATACAACCCTGGAAATACAGGACACTCGTGGCTCTTACCCTTGGCTGACGATCGCATCGTACTTCATACTGCAAGAGAGTAAGTATTGTCCACCGAGAAATGATGGGCTAACCGGGAGCCAACTAACTTGCTCATGCTAAGCATTCTGTCAATCTTCTTAATCCCAAGCCAGTGTAGAATATCAGGCATCAGCGCTTGGAAGCGCATGTCCTTCACACCCGCGATATTCTCAGTTCGTCGAAAATAATCCGATGCCCTGTCCTCCCCCCGCTTGCGGGCATTGTAAACGACTAAAGTTGATAAGTTGTTAGTCTCTATACAGAGTAGTTGGAGGCACCAGCACAATGTATTCCTCAGCTTCACTCGTCTTCTCTGCCACTTCCCAAACAACAAACAAAACTGAACTATTAGGGGGTTCAAGTAATTGGGAAGTGGAAGCATGAGTGGGAAAATATGACGTACGGTACTAATGCGAGTAAGGTTAATAAACCCAAGATTGACAAGGTTGCAGGAATAGATTGTAGGGTGTGGGTACCTTTGTCACCTCTCCCAACGCTCGACCTTCTTTCCGGAAATAGATAACGACACCACTGCCACCATTCTGAGCCTCCTTCACCGCTTCCTCAATGCCAAAGATAAGGTAAGGGCGGCAAGTGCAGATGTCGGAGCCGAATACGTCGCTGCCGTTACACTTCAGAAAAAACAGTATCTTTTAGTACCCTGACAAGCACAGATGACAATTTGAGAGAACCAACCTCGTCATGGATTCTCAGTGATAGCCGTGCTTGTCCATCCGACATTTTCTGGGGGTCGCCAAAGCAGTATACCGTGAGTCCGCCTATGGAAGAAGGATTATTAGCATATATTCATGTGGCACTTTTAGAGAGGAGATTCCCCTTCGGTTCTCCCCCTCGGACTATAATGTGTGTCCTTGGGTAACTCGCGACAAGCCTTACCGATCGGAGGGAGAAATAGTTTGATATCACCCCGTGTGATTAACTGGCGAGGTTGGACAGCCAGTGTGGTCAGCAGTGAGACAGATGTCCAGTTGACAGACAAATAAGTACCTCAGGATAGCTTCCTCCAGTATGCTCGAAAAGGGACCGTCGGAGAGTAGCCTCATCTGTATATCAGAGGTCAGTCTATAGTGAATCCCATAATAGAACTGCGCAAGCTTACCAATGCCAAATCGTTCCGCCACTCCTGGTAGGTACCAGACCTGGGAGAGGTAAGAAATTATCAATGTGTATCATACCGACATGAGTTGTGGAAGTCATTTAGACTTACAGGCTCCACAGCAACCTTTGTGACAGCTAGATCGCCTGTGCTGTTGAGGCAGACACTCCCATCGGGGACCCTGCTAATCTTAGCCGCTTGATGACGAGAGAAAACTTCATCGGGAAAACCTACAGACGACCGGACTTGACACTCTCTTCGAGTTCAGGAAGCTGGCAATCCGACATTTAGTAGCCATGCTTTGCGGACTTTGTGGAACTACATAAAATGTGTACCTTCATGTGGGCTTTAGTGATGGCGATAGTCGGCCGGATATCAACTGCGGATTGTGAGTGTGCCAGACATAATCAAGATAGGAGATAATGATTGACGGACGGTTTTCTGTTTCCATGAGGTCCTTGAATATCCAGGGCGCCATGTGGCCCCACGGGTCCATAGAAACGATCTTCTTCACATCATTCCACTGTGGGAACGGTCCGATATTTACGGCAGGCTCTGCGTTCGTAAAGTCCGGCCTTATCCTCGAAAGTCAATGCCAATACACATCGATCATTGGAAGGCACAGACCTGTGGTTGGCGTCGAGTTCCTTGCTTGCTACAGCAAGAGCATGGTAAATGGAATAGGAACCACCACTTGTCACACTGTTAGCAGAGATATGTTATATGGCCGTGGAGGATCGACCTACTGTGCTATGGGTGCGAAGGTGAAGGCGGCAGCGTAAGTGTTCCGTGAAAGAATAGTTGGGTATTAGATCAATATGGGACGGAACCAACCTCCAATGGCTATTGGATGTTTAAGCAAGACGGTTAGCATGATTAATGCGGAAGAAAGCAGTGCTCGGCCCGGCGCCTACCATTTCGTCGTCGAATGGTGGACGAAGCCCTCGAGACGACAACAGGGCCCCTCTGATTCGGGTCCGAGTGGCCCCACACCATGGGTAGGGGCTTTATTCCTATCTGCTTAGGGTAAGTCCTTCGCAAAATTAGCTGGAGACTTCTCGACTGGACAGTGACGGACGCACGTAAGAATGATTCGTGAAGTGAAGGCGGTTCGTGAGCTACTGGACGACGGCGCCTGCAACGACTGCGATGCGGGAGCCTCCGGAGAGACTTGGGATTCATCATCTGACTCTGGTCCAGGGTTAGCAGCTGATCCTGTTCGGTCAAGTTGGAGATGGGACGTGGACCGAAGTGCCCACCTTGCTGCTTATCTTCGCGGTCCGCTCTATTGAGTCTGTCTTCGAGCAAATCAACAGAGGAACTCAGGCGTGACTGAACCTGGCGAATGTCATCCAACACCTCTAGCACAGCGGACAGGTCAACGAGCGGTTCTTGAGCCATAGTGTGCGTCGAACGTATGTATCTATAATCTAGAGCTGAATGTGTTGCTGGATAAACTTGAATTGATTCTAACCTCCGTCGTTATGGGCTTGAGAAACGAGGGAGATCGGGCAAAGACAGAAAATCGTTGAGAAGTTGGGTAAGGGAGGCGGTGTATATATACATCAAATGGTCGAGGGAGCTGAGCTTACACGCGGGACTGTGGAGGGTGCTGCTGTAGGTCGCTAGCTCTCCCCTATGGTCCTGTTGTGACGTGGTCTAAACATCTACCTATCAGTCTAACTAGACTCGCAAAATAACTAGTGGACCTATTCACAGAACCAATAATGACCCCCAGTGCAAGTATCAGTAATGATGTGTTGAAGGGGGAGTGGTCTTCGAGCTATCAATACATCGATGCACTGTTCGGGAATCTACATCGTCCAAGACAACCCAAGCGGTCTCAATGATAACCTTACTCCAGTCTTAGTCGCGGGGTCAAGGCATGGATAGGATGGAGGGGCGTATCTAATAGCCGACAATAACCCGATTGTCCCAGAAATTAGGCCCGCAACATGCACCTTTGCCATTTATGCTTCGGCCGGCCCCACCCGACTCCGTCGCATCCTTGTCCGTCTTGTGACATAGTTCTTCAAACGGGACCCCAACACAGAGAGCCTGGTATCCGTTGGATATACAAACTAGGCGGTATTGCAATGGGAAAGCGAAAGAAGAGTTCCAGAGGGCCCCAGGGTCCAAGAAAGGTACGAGGATGGCAGCACCGATCGAATCGTGTTCCAAAAGCCCACTATCGATGGCTAATTTTCTCACAGAAGGATCCACTTCCTACGAAATTTACGTGTCTGTTTTGTAACCACGAAGAAGCTGTTACCGTACTCCTGGACAAGAAGGGTGGGGTCGGACAACTCGATTGCTCCGTGTGTGGCCAGACATTCCAATGTGCCATAAACTGTGAGTTCCTGGGAGCGCGAGATGTTGTTTTGATTTGTACTTACAGTGGTCATTTATGCAGACCTCTCCGCCGCCGTTGACGTTTATGGTGAATGGGTGGATGCGGCTGGTAAGTCGTGCTTCTTTGGTTTGCTATGGAGATTCACGCTAATCCGCTGTGCTGTCTTAGATATGGTAGCCAAGGAGGCTGATAGTAGGCAGGACGGGCCAGAGCCTACTTCTCGAGCGATCCGATCGCGAAGAACCCCGGAGGATGACGTCGATGCTGATGACGAAGAGTAATATCTGGTTTTGGCAGGGTTGGAGGAATTGTGCTTCCATGGCCTTCTAGTTCTGCCTCGTCTTGTTGGATTGGTGCTGCGCCGTCCAACGCCTCGTCAGGTCGAGTCCACTTCCTTAGCTACTCTACACATGGTTTTAGGCGCCAACGGAAGGTTGCAGCCGGCTATTGGGTTGTGAGAACCCTCTACATTGTATAGAACCGATCGCCAAAATCCCCTAAGCCGGGGACAATGTATCTATCATCATATTAGCCGATGGCCACGTTTTCATAATAACGTCGGACAGAAAGTGGCACTTACTTCTTTTCATCTAAGCCCTACAAAGCAACATTAGACTACCAGGGTTCGAACGAAGGAGACCATTCGGGTGGCCTTACCTGATCAACAAAAGCTGTGACAACACGTAATTTCGGAAACCGTCTTGCGAAATTACCAATCCCCTCGGGGCTTGCGATAACGTTCAGGAACAAAATTCGTTCCTCTGGGACTCCTCGGGCGATCAGAACTTCCACGGCCATGATAGCCGACCCGCCTTGTTCTTGAGTGAGAAAGCGAAACCTCCAAGCTGCCATTCGAAGACGAGTTTAATGACCAGGAGAGTATGAGACCTACCGGTAGCAAACATGGGATCAAGCAGTAGAACCCAACGATCAGCGACATCTTCCGGAAGCTTGTCGTAAAATAGTCTTGGCTGCGAGGTTTCTTCATCTCTCTGGATAAGTATTTTTCCGATACGGACAGATCGGCAACAGTCTCGCAAGCCCTGCTCCATGGCCTCCCCTGCCCGCATTATCGAAACACCACATATTTTGCCCTGGAAAGTCAACCCCGAATACGCTCTCCCAACAGGCGTGGTCACCGCGCGCTCGATAACTGGCAAATGATTGAGACCTTCCTCGACCAGGAGACGAATGATTCTATTTGAGTAGAATATAAAGTCTGCCCGCTCCGTGTCTCGATTCCGGATAATCCTACACTCAGGTTATGGCTCTGCCTCTCTCGTTTGACAATTTTGAGAGTAACTTACGTCAGAAGTGCAATCAATTGCGGAGTCTGAGCAAGTACATGCACGTTCTCAAACGACACCTCCTTTGAAATTGTGGCACTTGGTTTCTGGTAATTCGATCGATAATCCGGCCCTACGCATTGCAAGGGCGGATTTGAAGCATTGGATTGAGCCATTTCGGTTGCGATATTTACATCGACAATTGGAATCAGGAGGTGTTGTGGGGACAGCTAATGCCTTGGATTCTGAGTTGTGGGGTGAATGGCAATGATGAATGCTCTGAGTCTAGTGTACACAGGTAAGAAAAACAAAAAAATACAAGTAGACCGGACTGTTATCAAGGGGAAATGAGTGCGAGCGGTATCAGTCACTAAATCACTCCTTGTTCCATAGTAAATAAGTTTACACCGCCCCCATAAACTGCAGAGAGAGAATTGGTTTCTTCGAGAAGAAGCCATCAACGGATCGATTGGGCGATATCACTGCGTTGTTGATCAATGTACTTGCTATTTTAGGAAACCTGCCTCGCGCTGTTGGGACTTAGGCGTGACCTGGTCGGAGTTGAGGTAGATCACAATGCGGGACGGGGAAACGTGGGAATGTCTATTATCTAATACACTATGACAGGAGCGCAGTTTCACATTCTCAAGGCATGGAGCGTCCGTTGCCACATCAAGACGCTGTCTTTAGTCGATGCACATACGAAGTATTATCCTCGGAACCAAAAAAGAACAGGCGCCCTGGCCCCAAAGAGATTATATATATGTCAGGCGTGAATCTTCCATAATTGATCATTATCACCGTCCGCCGACCCTCGCTGACTTTCGCAACATGAACAGGGCACTTGGTGACCTAGCTTTGTTTCCTTCCTGCTAGGTCCTCACACGTTTGCCTCTCGCCGAAATCTACTTTCCAAACCAAACACGACGACGAACTCCGCCCATCCACTATGAGCTCATCAACGATGGGACTGGACGACCAGTCCAAAACTTATCAGCGCCAAAACCCCGCCAGTAAACGTTCATATCTTGATGCCTTTGGCCATAAAAGGCCCGACTCCAGCACTATCAATGACCACCACTCACGATTGCAAGGTCGGGCTCAAGGAACTCTTTCGCCCTCAACCACCCCGCTACAGCCATCATTGAAAGCCGAGAAAAGAAAGCAGTCGCGTACTCGAGGCGCTGTCGAGGGAGGCAATGAAAGTAATGGCGTCCACCATGGTCCCGATCTAGATCTCTATGACCTCACGAGTCTCGATGGCGGGGATACCGCAAGACCGCAGGTCTCCAGTTCACCAAAGCTCCGTTCGCCGAGAGCGAGACCACGGGCTCCCGTCATAAAAACAAAACCAGAAAATGAGGCAAAGACACGGAATGTCCCCTCCTCCCCCGAGCCGCAAACTACGACAAATCGCAAGCCTAAACTAGCCCGAACTGTTTACGGAGCGGCAACCAGGCTCAAGCACAATCGAGAAAGGGACCTTACGGGTAAACATCAGCCGTCTGCAAGCCGCTCCTCGTCGAGCGCTATTGCGCTTGATGAACCTCTCGCCCATAGACTCTCCCTGGTGCCCCGAGCCTCCTCTGGCAGCACAAGGCGAGAGCGCCTCATTGATAACCTAGCTCACCAGGGTGTAGCGGATTCCCAAGATGCTTTTGATCCTCAAGACTCCCGCTCGCCTTCCCGTTCGCATGCTGCGTCCAATCCTGAGCATGCCACCGCCAACGCCACTGCTCCTCGGCACGATCGCATGACGAAAGTGTCAACCACAGTCAAATTTACATATGGGTCGCGGAGGTCCATGCTTCGGGAAACGAGTTCTGAGGATCAGATACAGCCACGCACGTCTTCGCCTGTCCCGATGGCCCTTACTCTCCCAAAGGAAAATGATCTATTTTCTCTGGATGCGCAGTTTTTGTCAGATCACAGCGATGATGATACGTCCCACAAGGGGGCCGTTCAAAGCATCCATGAACTCCGTCAGGCGGGTGCCAACAATCGCTTCGCCGATGCGATAGACGATTTACTAGACAGGGTAGGCCTGCCACAGAACGAATCCCCTTCGCTCAGGAGAGGTGCACTCTTAGACTTAGCGGTCAAACTCCATCAAAAGCCGTTTCTTCTCCAATTCAGAGACCACGGTGCACCGCGAACTCTCTTTAATGAACTTCACAAGGAGAGGGATATGGTAAATGCATTTGCCCTGATCTCATCGCTGCTTACTCTACTACTTGGCAATGCGCCACTCCCAAGTTACAAGTCTCTGCAGGAGGAGGGTATTTGCCCTCTACTGGAAAGAATGCTGCACCACAATGAGGACATCTGCGTAATCGCAGGGCAGCAGCGCCTAAGCGTTCCCAGGAAAAATCAGCCGGCCCTGTCAACTCTCAGGGCAGCAGTCGGCGGCCTCAGTGTGTGGGATTCGCCCCCGAAGCTGATCTCCCCACGTACTCTTGCGCTCAAGTTCATGCACCTTGCCTGCCAGTCCCCGGAAGGTACGGACTGTATAAAGACTTCGGAAGACATTACAGAGGTTCTGTTTTCTCTCCTGAAGGCGTATCTCCGATCGAATCGCCTGAAAAATGACGCCAGCGTTAGGGGTCGTGATTACCTCATGGTTGTCTCCATCCTAGAGGGGCTCTCGGTGACCACTTCGACCTCTGAAGTGGCAGTTCAATGGACACAGGAATACCTCCATACCATCTCAACGGCCCTTGATACTGCTCTTGCGTGCGCTGTTGCCGACTTTGGACCGTCGGAGAATTCGGTCCTCAAATTGGCGATGAACGCAACCAACAACAACCCTTCTGCTGCTGTTATCTGGCAGGACAGGAAGCATCTTCAAAATCTTACCAAAGCCTCTACTACGTACTTCCGGTTGGTCAAGGACGGGGTAGCCAAGGGCAGCTGGAATGGCGAATTTTACAATCGATTGCTTCTGATTCTAGGTGTGATGATCAACGTTTGCGAGCATATCTCCTCGTCTCACAGCCTTCTGGAAGGTGATTCGTTAGACGACCTCATCAGCACGTTTCTCGAAAACTCATCGTCCACAAAAGAGGTAAGTTATGATGGACAAAGCGGATGACTAGATATAAACTAACTCCGTTCGATTCATAGGCAGATTCAGTCGAAAAGTCACAGCTCAATGTCATCGTTGGATACATTGCCATTGTCCTTGGCTACCTATGTTTATCCCTGCCAATAAGGCGGCGGTTTGAGTCAATGAATTCCCCGAATGGTGTGGTTTGTCTTGTGGGAGCGATTAAAGAGTTCATCTCCTTTTACCAGAGCATCGATCATAAAAAGGACTCGAGTGGACAAGTCACACGTCTTCAAGGACTTGCCGACGCCCTTCAAGAGGAGGGAACCGATCTCGTGGCGGCGGTGTCCATCCCATACTCAGAAGGATAATTAGATTCAAATAATTACACTGTTTAGACGAGGTTTCATCAACGATCAATTGTTCTGCTGGGCTCATGGCTCGATGAATTGGTTAGCGTGAAGGATGCATGTGAGCAACTGAGGTCCGCAATTGCATAGTGCGTACGCATACATGTACATAAAAGGAATTCAATCATTTCACACTCCTACCTAGTGTATTAGTATATTACTTCGTACTTTATCTTTCGTCATGGCTAGCGCGCCCATCACGCATCGATCCATTTCGCAGTTAGACTCTCATTCCCCCGCCTTCAGAGCTCCACACATCAACGTCTCTTCTGCGACATCTGTGACAGAGCCGCCTCCTTCAACATCCTCTCAATCGCGAACATCCTCCCCATCTATCCCTCTACATTTTTTTTAGGTGGACCGCTGAGGGTTATACAGTTTCACCCACGCTTCTATGTAACCCAAGAATTCGGCTTAGAACTATTTGACCTCGAACCTCACCCACGATTTTCCGGATGACGTCGCCAAAGCAAAGAAAAGTCGCCATTGTTGGCAGCAGATCCGTTGGTTTGTCCAACCGCTGGAGCAATATTGCCGAGAACCCCCCTTGAACTGCACATATTCTAATCCTTCGTCTTGCAGGCAAATCATCATTGGCAGTACAATTCGTCGACGGTCATTTTGTTGACAGCTACTATCCCACAATCGAAAACACTTTTACCAAAACCATTCGGTATCGAGGTCAAGACTTCACGACTGAAATCGTAGACACTGCTGGCCAGGTACCACGCCCCATACTCGAATATATATACAGGCCCGCCCCCACCCCATCATATCACTACTAAATGATTTGGTGAGATGCTAACTTAGGGACCTCAAACTACAGGATGAATATAGCATATTAAATTCGAAGCACTTCATCGGTATTCATGGATACATGTTGGTTTACTCTGTGGCATCATTGCCATCTTTTGAGATGGTACAGGTCATCAGGGATAAGATACTAAACCACTTGGTAGGCTTTCCGCGTTCCCTAACCATCCGCTCCGGGAGCATGGGAGAGAAGAGAGGGGAAGATGCAGACCTATTCTGTTTTTCAACTCCGTACTAACAATACTCCAGGGGACTGACACCGTTCCGATTGTGATTGTTGGAAACAAAAGCGATCTCCGACCCGAGCAGCGCCAAGTTACTGCCGAGGAAGGAAGGAGGCTGTCAGAAAAATACCAGTGCGGATGGACCGAGGCCAGTGCAAGATATAACGAAAACGTCTCCAAGGCCTTCGAACTTCTCATCGGCCAAATAGAAAAGTCTCAGAATCCGGCCGACGCTCAAGAGGGGAAATCGTGTTCGGTCATGTAGTACGACCACTCAATCATCAACATTATCAAGTTCTCAAGTCAGATCCCCGCCGTTATGACAGCCCTGACATCGCAGAACATTGAAGGCGGGTGATCGGATATGCAAAAACACTTTATTTCGACTGGTCTCGGCCCGTTATCCAGCGTTGTCAAGCGGTCATGACATGTCCCAGGGACAATTACAAGCACATTCTATCGTACATATCATTGCCTGGAGGTTAAAAGTATGTCGAGCTCCCCAACGTCGGAAGTTCTCTAGATATTCATAGTTCTAAAAAAAAAAAAGAAGAAGAAGAAAAAAGAAAAGAAGAATAAGAAGAAGAAGAAAATACAAGAAAAATACAATATAATTATTTGAAAGAGGAATATTTAAATTTAATAATTAATTGTTAATTTTTATTTACTTATTTTGTTAAAATATCTTCCTCTCACCTGTCAGTTTACTTCGTGGTCATGGCTCGAGTTTAGTCATAACTTAGACTCATGACTCAATGACTCAGGTACGAGATGATACGTCTTCGACACGACCTAGCGTCTTTGGTGCACAAGAACAATGCGCGCTGCCCCACTATACTTTACCAGCCCAAAAGAATCTCAACTACCCCTCGTTCCGTGTGGCCTTTTCAATTGCGCACCAGAGCGAAAAAGAGTGGAAAATCTCATCTTGTGACAAAAGCTTTCTTTTTATTTCCCGGCCTCCTCGACGGAACGGCGCAAAATGCTCGACGTGGTAGATTTCATCTCCGAGAGGGGCGGCAACCCTGAGACTATCCGCGAATCTCAGCGCCGTCGTTTTACCAACGTCGAGATCGTTGATGAAGTGATTGCCCTATGGGAGGATCATCGGCAGGTACAATTGCTCCTTCTTTCCTTTCCTCTCTAGCCAGATGCCTTCCTCGAAGCCCTAGTCTTGACATCATGTTCTTCAGACACTCTATAATGCGACTCAGGTTGGATCCAGAATCAACGAAGTTCAAAGGCAAATTGGAGCGCGGAAGAAGGTAAGTTATGACCGGACCGCCACTCCAAACCGCACCAACCACGCCTTCCTAGGTACTCGTGCTAACCCTCAACCCAAGGCTAAAGAAGATGCTACCGAACTCATTGAACAGAAGCTTGCGCTTGACAAAGAGAAGAAGGCCCTGCTTGACTCTGCGAACGAGAAAGAAGCTAGCCTAAAAGCGAAGGTTTCCTCCATCGGGTATGATCCCCCCGGGGAAGAATAAAACCACGGACTGCTCTAAGACTGAGATAGGAACATCGTCCATGAATCCGTCCCCGTGAGCAATAACGAGGTAAACTAAGGCACAACTAGAATATTACAGTCAAACTTAACTCTAACATGACAACTTTTACTGGTCTCTAGGACGACAACGAGGTGCAGAAGACCTGGGCGCCCGAGGGGGTTGCGGTGGAGAAGAGAGCATGCCTTTCGCATCACGAGGTCCTTCTCCGATTAGACGGGTATGACCAGGACAGAGGAGTCAAAGTCGCCGGCCATCGCGGCTACTTTTTGCGCCAATGGGGCGTCTTCCTGTGGGTATTAATTCGAAATTCATCGGGGACAGCGGCTGACTTTTGTGTGTGCCCGTAGAAACCAAGCGTTGATCAACTATGGATTGGAATTTCTCGCCCAGCACGCATACATTCCCCTACAGACCCCCCAGATGATGCTCAAGAAGTACATGAGCAAAACCGCCCAACTATCCCAGTTCGACGAAGAGCTCTACAAAGTGCTTGATGGCGAACCTCAGAATGATAAATACCTCATCGCGACTTCGGAGCAACCTATTTCGGCGTTCCATGCGGATGAGTGGCTAGTCAATAACGATGTACCAATCAAGTATGAACCTCCGACTCGGTGGTAGCGGTAGCGAAACTCACACACTTTATGAAACTAGGTATGCCGGATACAGCACCTGCTACCGAAGGGAAGCAGGCTCTCATGGGAGGGATGCTTGGGGCATTTATCGGGTCCACGAATTCACCAAGGTAGGCTCCGTAAAAATTTAAGCTGCGAATCTAGGCGGGCCTATACTTACTACGTGAAATGTAGGTTGAGCAATTCCAGTTGACAGACCCGGAGAAGTCATGGGAGGCCTTTGAGGAAATGATGTCGATTTCCGAACAGTTCTACCAATCGTTGGGGCTCCCTTACCGAGTTGTTTCGATTGTCTCCGGCGCCCTAAACAATGCGGCTGCAAAGAAGTTGGACCTGGAGGCCTGGTTCCCATTTCAAGGGGAATACAAGGAACTCGTGTCGTGCTCTAACTGCACAGACTATCAGAGTCGGGCTTTGGAGATCCGGTTTGGCGCCAAAACCCAAACTGATGCAAAGAAGAAATACGTCCACTGTTTGAACGCGACTCTTTGCGCGACGACGAGGACGCTCTGCTGTCTGTTGGAGAATTTCCAGACAGAAGATGTACGTTGAACCTCCCTTCCCCAAAGAACCTGTTTGTTATAGAATTGCCATTGACAGCGCGGGACCTCCGCAATAGGGATTCAAGGTGCCCGAACCTCTTCGAAAATATCTCCCTGGATCGCCTGACTTCATTCCATTTTCCAAGGAGTTGCCCAAGGAGTCAACCTCTCAGAAGACAACAAAGGGGTCGAAGTAATGTGTTGTGACACTGGCGCGGGGGCTTAAACTTAAGATTGGGATGGGTAGCGTGCATGCCACGAGGAGGGTTATTCGGAAATGTCGCACGTGTCCACCAATTGGCCCTGTGTTAGCCAGGAGAGACCCCGCATTCTTATATCAATTCCTTGAGATTTCCGCTTTCGGGGGCAAGCAAAGCATTCCTCAATAAACCCAAGTCTTTCAGCCAAGCATAGATGGGCCCTCGAAGGTATTAAACGTGGTCGAGTAAATACATCTAAGCTTTAAACCAACTATTTGTGTCGCTTCCTGTCACGACACTCATTGTATGGGCGCTTTCTTGTAATGACTCGCCAAACATCCGATCTGGCAGAACAGTCACAAGCATGCTTATACCCACCTTCTCACCCACGACGTGTGGTTTGGACCGTATTGCTTCAATGCCTTGAGCCCTTCCGCATTCGCTCCGCTAGTGAACCGAGTACACCTGGGAACAAGCCCCCCGACGTGGAAATGGGCGGCATTTTGAAGCACATTCATCGGGAACAAGTTTCCGGTTCGGCGAATGTGAGGAGGTTGGGCGTAAGTTTATCCTAGAGGCTTCCTGGATTGCGCAGAAAGCACGCATAGCTCACTTCACTAGATAAAGGAATTGGGTGTCTACGCTTATGAGAAGCGCATGCCTTCGTGGTTGGATTCTCTTCTTCGTGGGCATGAAGCGTCCTGGAGGGATGGTGAGTAATCTTCTTTACTCTGGCGACGTCACTTCAACAGAGTAGAGCGCTCATTGCCCCCCCACCCTAACCCTCAGGAGTGATTACACTGTTGCAGCAATTCCTACTCGAGGCCGAAGACACAGAATACGCGTATCTATGCCATCCACACACCCGCCAGGTTTTCAAATTAAAACGCGAAGGTATATACATATCTCATACGCTGTCCCCAACCCCCATCCATCGAAAGCTACAATGGGACGGTGCTAATGTCAAGGAAGGTCAATTTTGCGGCTACAGAAACATCCAGATGTTAGCCTCCTACATTGATGCAGCAGCTCCACCCGAGTCTCGGCATTTTGGAAATGAACCACCTTCTATTTTTACTATACAGGACCGTATCGAGGCTGCATGGGATATGGGTATAAGGCCCGAGGGCCGAATTGAAACTGGAGGAATCAAAGGCACGCGAAAGTTCATTGGCACGCCCGAGGCAAGAACGCCTACCCCTTGATCACCTGGCATCCCCGACGACGCTGACCGCGATGCAGGTTGAAGCTATACTTACCAGTCTCGGTGTACCGTAAGTACTTTCGGGGATCTCCTGCTCTCGATGCTGACGGTTGGTCTTTCGTACCCTTAGGCACACTGTTCGTATTTTCAGCAATACGGGTAGCCTCCATGCGTCCGAAAGTCTTCTACAAACTGTTGTTAACTACTTTGAGACGGGTATCCCTAGCTCGTCGGGCAAGGTCCGGTGTACCAATCTACCGCCGCTATATCTCCAAACGCCAAGTAGGTTCCCAGAGAATGGCTTAGAGGGGCCACCGAATTAACGCTGCACATTCTTCCAGGGCATTCGATGACAGTTGTTGGGGTAGAGAAGCTTCAGCGAGGGGGGTTCAATCTTATAGTATTTGATCCCAAATATTACGACACAGATAAATGGGATTTGGCCATGGAAAGAAGTTTGTTGGGCAAAGGCGTCGATGATTTCCTCGCATTGTATCGAAGAGGAATCCCAGACTTGCGAAAATACTCTGAGTTTGAAATACTCGAGTGCGTTTAAGTGGCTTGTCCGCAGTCCATGTTGAGTGACTCGCACGTGCTAACGGCGGAATACACACTATCTAGGCTTACTGGGATATCATTGTTGGGTAAAGATGATTGCACACTAGAAACCCAGGCGGAACATGGAAGTTCGCTGACGGAATCACCCAAGCTCGAGCGGAGGTCGGCGGGATTCGATCATAAGGGCGTTAGCTGCCCTCGTTCGACATCAGGGTTGGTGTTCAACAAACCATTCCTGGAGCTTCCCTAATGCCAATGCTCTGTGGGATATCTTGTTCTTTTCTTCGGGCCTCATCTCGGCATAGCTAACGCAGGTTAAGGTAAGTAGGTGATCAGTCTAGCCTCCAGAGCATATATGAGGGGAAAGGGGTCTTACGTTTGGCCTTTGTGCTCAAAGCAAGGATCCCAGCCTGTGGACGGAGTCACGTTAATATCCCGTGGCAGTGAGGCAATATTATTATTGAAGCCCACCGAAATTTTGAGGGCCTCGAGGTGATACTATAGTGCCCTGTTGTTTCGAAGTTAGTGCACAGGGCTGCAGTGATGAATAGGACTCCTCTTTCACTGCCACTCTGATTCATGTCCGTGACGCTTCCGGCCATCGCATGGGGATGACATACTGCTGTACGCCCCTGAAAGAGCATCGGCTCATATCCAGGCCCTGGGGAGTAGGCGAAGGTACACACCGCCTCAGCGCTCTTGTCAGGAAATCCGGCCAGGAGTTTACTAAGACCCTCGTTTCCCAGGTCGCGGAGGAACCACTTACTAGATGGTTGTCAGAGACTCTACCCTCTGGAGGAAAACATATAGGGGGGACATGAGAAATGGTACGGCGCCCCCCAAAAAAACAAGACAAAAAAAAAAAAGGAAAAAAAAAAAAAAGAAAAGAAAAGAAAAAAGAGCTGAAGGCAAGGCTTTGGACTCCATGACTTACATATAAGGCCCCGGGAGTCCATTCAGGGCATTGAAGCACAATGCAGTATCTTCGACAAGGACTGGACTATTCAGCTGGTAGGAGGGAGGAGGTCAGTATCTATCGGGAACTTCCCGCTCCATGAAGCTCAAAGTCCCAAGAACGCACGAGATCGGCAGCCTTCTTGCATTTTGCGATGGCGATTTCCTCGATGGATCCTTGAATTTCCTCAATGTCAAGCTCGTGGCTCTGGACCTGGATTGACGATTCCAGAATTCCCCTCACTTCGCGGAGCTTATTGGAATTTCCAGTAATGAAATTGACCACAGGGGTCAGGGGAATGTTAGCCTTCTTAGCCTCGGCGGAGGTCATGTTCAATGAGCATCAATTGAGTATTGTTTAGGTGACGGAATTGAAGGCCTTTGCGATGATCGGATTTCTTTTTGTCTTGCTTCGCCTGAAGTGAAAAATGAGTGACTGCGAGTCGCAAAGTTCAATGTTGGTACCTTTGTTACCCCACCAGACTTCGTAATGCCCCGATCAAGACCAGATGTGGGCTGCCTACGCTGCCCCGCCATTTCCTGGACACCGAAATGGATAAGAGGCAAAAAAGAAGAAGAAGAAGAAGAAAAAAAAAAGAGAGCAGAGAGCAGAGAGCAGAAAGCAGAAAGCAGAAAAACCACGGCCATCTCAAAACCCAGCCAGGCCGCCGTTTGGGACTCTCTACCACTACTTAATTAATACATTCCTACATGTATATGTTGGAGTCGGCGCTCTTTATTATTTCACTACATCTTCCTCCTGCCTGTCCACAATGACCTTGGAAAATGGATTGGCTTCTCGGGCTCTCTCTTTGATCTTACATGTCTATATTGGACTAGCCCGCCCGTACCGTCAAATCGTCAAATTGATACTAACACGATACTGGAGGATACTCGATAAATGACCACCTGTTTTTTGTACTCGTCTAACCCGGCAACCTCTCACGATGATCCGTGATCAAGCTTCCACCGTTTGATCCATTCCTCAATGCGGTCGATGTTTTCTTCCATCTCCTCAGAGGTGTTGCTAGTGAGTTCGACGACGATCTCGTCGTCATACGCTTCCCGGGCTTCCTGGATTAATACATCCATGAGTTCGGCATCGAGGTTCTCCTGGAGTTTCGCCTCGGGATAACCACGGGCATTAAGTCTGTCGTAGAGTGTGGATGAGTCCACCCGGAGGACAACCACAAGATCAATCCATCTCTTCGGGAAAAGGTCGCAGGCGTGCCAATCAATCAGGCATCCACCCGTTGGGACTTCATCTTCCAAGGAGTCAAGTAGCTAGAGGACAGAGATTAGCTTGTGTATATTATGGGGAAATGGCCTTGCCTGTCAGCAAACAAACACAAACACCTACTCTGTCCTCGTCGACTATCCAACAAGAATACTCTTCATCCCAACCCTCGTGACAGCCTTTGTCCTTGACGATCTGATTGACGGATAAATGGCGTAGGCCTGTCCTCTGGGAAAGGAGCTCGCAGTGCGTAGTTTTACCCACACCGGGAGTGCCGGTGATGATGATATTGGGAGAGTCCCTCATTTTCTACAATTCGTAGACGTCCTCTGGCCCCGCAATGACGGACACTTGAGTGAGTGCGGCAGCCGCTGGTTATCGATTAGCCCTCGATCCTCGGCGTTTCTCTCCCGGTTCCACGTTTTTGCTAGAACGAACTGGGTTCTGTCTCCAAAGTACGCGAGGCATCCAAAAACATTGGATTCTGCTCTCTTCTAGATTCTTTTCACTGCCGTCCGTATGAACGACGTTCCTACTTGGGTATCCTCCCTGGGTCAGAGTTTGCACTAATCCGTGGCAATGAAAATTAGCGATCGCCGATTGGTGTTAGTGTAAGAACCTGAGGGTACGGGAAATGCAGTGGAAATCGTGCCGGGTGCTGAGGTAGACGAGATCAATTTTTCTTATCGAGTAGTCAATACCCCACTTAGAGTATGATTATTATTGATATCAATTGATGCCCACAACATTGAATTGTATTCGTGATGGGAGCATATGCATCTACCGATCGCCACGCGAAGACTTCATGCCCGATCTATAGCGATGGGCACCACAAGAAAACACACACACACACACACAAACACACATTCTCTCTCTCTCTCTCTCTCTTTTTTTTATCAAGTGGCTAACACCTCGGAGAAATAGCCCGCAAGATCCCACCAGGAAATGTGATGTGAGCTCCTGGGACCGAAGATTATCATCAAAACCGAATTGCACTCTATGTCAAAATATATAGTAGTCTTACAAGTATGAATGGTATCGAAAAATATAAACAAGTAGCCGAACCCTGCCATAAAAGTGGCTTAAAGCCTCAGCGGGTTCCGGGGATGGTGATATCGATCGACGGAGGAATGTTGGTACCATTGCCCGGGGTTATCACGGAGAGCTCACTGCGTCGTGACCATCTCCCCCTCATCCACCGTAGACATGGCTTCGGCATCCTGTTCTCCGTAGTCACCATCCTCGTCCCCATACTCGAGGCGTTCCTGCTGGGCTAACGCTTGGGCTGAGACGATTTCAGCTAAGCGCTTGAGTCGCGGGGTTTGTAGCCCTACCACGCACACACAAGGTTAGCCACGAAACATACCGGTATCGATGAGGTCAGTAGAAAAAGAACCGAACTGAATGGGTAACGGGCGGCGGTGAAAATTGGCGCATCGGATGGGAGGGGGATGGGAATGCTTACAGGACGGCGTATAGGTTTCAAGAGCGGTTATTACACGAGGCTCAGCAATCTCATACGGTCCGCTGTCCTCCAGGTCGACGGCGGGAAGAAGTAGCGTGTCGTTCTTTTCCGAGACCTTGGATGCGACAGCTTTCATGATTTCTCCATTGATGGGTTGCTCATAATCTGCCACTAGGTACTGATTCAACAGTTTTTGGATCTGGTTCGGGGACAGCCTGCGAAGTTTGCCGTGTTAGGATTGACTGTACTGAGTCGGTGTATGGTTTTGGATTGGGGGCCCCTAGACGGCGTGGTACTCACATCCAACAGATATCCTGGATGATTTCAATGTCGTTCAGCGTGGCCTTCTTGAGCTGCAAAAGCTTTGTCGCTTGCTACGAACAGTAGAGATGTGGTTAGCCGTTTTTTTTCTTTCTTTTTCTTTTCTTTCCTTTTTTTTTTTTTTTTTTTTTTC